GACAAAGAAGCACAAGGCCGAATTGGTTAGTTGGGCGAAGAGATTGATGGAGTGCGAAACGGCCAAGTCTTAGGAGGTTGAATGTAGATGAAAATTGGATGCAGATTGCAATTGGCTACGAGATCAGTTGAAGACAGTTGAGGAGTAGTTAGAGACGTTGCGGACCAGAGCGAAAGCGACGGAATTGGCGTTTTGGCAGTTGAAGGTGGCGCCGATTGACAGTTGTGTTTGCGGATTGAGAGGTGTTTTCGCGATTTCGTTGAGTGGGAAGTTCAAATGTTGAAGTGGATGAAATTGGATGTGCTGGAGCGGCGATTGATGGAACTCAAGACCAGTGGAACCATCATGCATCGTCAATTAGTTAGATTAGTCATTTCAATCTTTTCCAGGTTAGAAGAAGCGCGAGAAAACTTAGAGTTAGAGATTCTAGGCATGTTGCGTAGGTCAGGAGAAGACAGAAGCTCATAGGACGCAGTAATCGCTGCGTTGGATGGTTTTGAGCCTGAGGGTGGTTTGCCTTGGGCGGAGAGTTGTCTAGGAATTCAGAGTGAATAAAGAGATCCAAAGCTCTTTCCTTGAAGGGCTTTTTCTGTCAATTGACTTGTCTTGGCTTTCAATCGGTGTCTATTGTGCGCGTTCGTGAAATTGTCTGTGTCTGTCACCGTGCACGGTGCGCTTCAGTTTGTCAAAGTTACCGCATCTGAAGTTGTTAGTGTCCGATTCAGATGTTCAGAGTGTGCCTAGGATTATTCAAGATTTAAACAAGTTCAAATTTGGAAATTCGGAGCAGTAGGCTCAGAATGTGCAATTCTGGAAAGTTTTCTCTTGAATTCTAAGTGTAGGGTCAGGTGTTATTCTTGCAAGCTTTGATTGGACAATTTTTAGGTTGTGTGTCTGATTATACTCTGCTCTTCGGACCTTCGGCCGTAATCGAGCAGTGTCTTCTAGGAGTGACATGTGCCTGAAAAGTAAAATTCTTCAATAGAATATTAATTAGTGACAATTCTTGACTCTTCGACGTTGTTTCTGTCCCTGTGGGAACGAATCTGTACCATTATGCTTCATTATGGTATTTATTTGTTATCACCGCAAAGGTTTCAAAGCTTCTATGATCATCTAAAAAGGTTTGAAGAGGCCTTGAGATTAATGTCAGGGAATAAATATCCAATGCTCTTCTTTGTAGTGTTTGTGTTTGTTGAACTAGTCTCGTATATTAAAGAACATGTGGTTGTTTTTGACAACTTGAATCCAATGAAAAATGCTCTGTGTGTTGCACACCAAGTACTTTTCAAATACTATACGGTCACGGATGATTCTTAATTCTACATGATGTTTATAATGAGGTTCCAAAAAACATACCTTGAACAAAAGGAGTTCGAGTCTTTTTACCCAGGATTGATCACTACTACTCTTATGGTGTTGAAAAAGTTGGTGAATGAAATAAAAATGTTTTGTGGCGTCCATGAGATCAATTCAATTCTGTCACATGAACCTCAACATCCAATTGTATTTTTGAGCAAGTTTGTTCATTGCAATGAGGATAATAAAACAAAAGATGAGGTCGACAGATACTTGTCCTTACGAAGTGAAGATCCTATCGTTTATCGGCTTGAATACTGGAAAGTTCATGTAAAACAGTTTGCTCTTATCAGTGCGTTGCAAAGGACGTTCTTTTTATACCAAGGTCATCAGTGACCGTTGAGCCTATGTGGAATTGCAGATGCAATGTGATTGATATGTGATGGCACTCTTTTGCTCCCACGATTTTGAGTGCTCTAATGTTTGAAAAAAGTGTTTTGAAATGATTTATAATTAATAAAGAGAATAATTCATTTTTTTTCTACAATTTTTTTAGGTTCTACCCAACTTGGTTTTTGGAGTCAAGTTCGGATTGAAGTTCAAATCCGACCTGATCGGAATACTATATTCCGATTACAAAATTACACCAGCTGTTACAAAATAATCTACATTCACAATTTGACAAAAAAAACTTATCTTGGGAGATTGAAATATCTCTATTTCACATAATTATATATGATGTGCGCAATCACTATTAGATAAAAAATAACAAGTTAAAGGCTAGCTAAAAATTACAATTTGAACATGATGTTCAATCTTTCATTTTCAACTATGATAATAGAAATTATTTTTAAAACTGCAAGTATTATTATAATACATTTAAAATCTTTCATTTGGAAATAAGTAAATGAATGTGAAGATTTTAGATTGAGTATCAGGATTCTTGAGTGACGTTTTAATCGTTGATGAAATGATTGTATGCCTAGTTGAAATTTTTTAAGGCTAGATTTCAAAAATAACATGTACTTGAAACTTCTTGAATATTTTTTTATATGATATAAATTAGCATACGTATGTTAGATCCAAGATATGTTCATTAACAAGTTGTGAAATGAATATTTTGTTATCTCAAAATTTTTTATTACTATGATATTTTCTTCATTGGATAAAAATAATCTTTTCTATCTTAGGTTGATGGTAATCGCTAACGATACATTAGAAATAAAACTTTATAGCTTTATATTTGATGTTTAGAATTGATAATGAATTAATTAGTTATTAAATTAAATTTCATAAATGCACAATTTAGAAAACATATAATTTAGATGACAGTTTCAACAATTAAAATTAAAATTATGTAATAAAAATTTAGAAAACATATAATTTAGATGAAAATTTCAACAATTAAAATTAAAATTATATAATAACAATTAGAAAACATAGAATTTAGATGACAATTTCAAAAATTAAAATTAAGATAACAATTTAGAAAACATGTAATACAATAATAATAATACAAATAAGAAAGAAATCAATTTGATTCAACATATTTATCACTACTATTGGATTGAAACATGATATCAAATTTAATTGAGATAGTGAAATTGTGTTGAGTCTTGACATAGATGTTGAGGAACAGCAGATGCTTTGTGTCGTATTCCAACTTGGTAAAACTACTATTTGCGCTGTTGATGTACATCGGACACAGCTTGTCGCTCCATGCATCTTGTCATCATGGAAGCAAATTGCACTCTGATTCCCGATGGGTAATCTACAGCACGTGATCACTGTTTGTGCTTGTATTGATGCTCAAATATTGTCCAGGCTAGATTCGGAGACACCCCGAGTTCTTGCATTTCAGGTCAAGCTGAGCTGACTCTTTCACGGCTGGCACGAGCTGGTCAAACATGTTTACAGTCACCATTCTTTGTCTGGTTATACTGGGCTCTCGACAGTCTCAAGCATTACGGTACATGTCCTATCCATTTGCAGTGTAGCGGGACAAGCACATCACAGGCGACATCTTGTTACCTGCGAAGAAACCTTTTCTGTGCTATGAATATTCCAAAATCTACGTACTTCAAAGCGATCTGACACACAAAGTAATATCAGAACCGACACTCTCCATACTTTAAAATGGTGTACCTTGTTACAAGATGAGGTGGTTTGGCAGATTTAGGGAACACTGTACGTATGCGTATCTAGCAAAACAATGTAAGGAAGGATCATCATAAAGGTCCCGTTTGTGTCCGGATGCATCTATCAGTATGACGTCGATGGAACTTGAACCCATGTTGTTGACGCGGTCTTCCCCGTCAACATTTTATATTATTGGAACGATACATAGAAGATTAGCATGGCCACTGCGCAAGGATGACACGCACAAATCCAGAATTGGTCCAAATTTATAATCATATGAAGCTGGTTAATGCATACATTCATGTAGTAAGAAGACTGCCACACATACATGCCAATACGAGAGATGTGCTTGTAACCTACGAGGAATAACTCAAGTTGTGTTCAGCTCAAGATGCACATTTCTAAGCTGGAATCTTGTTGGCACCTGGAGGAGTTGTGAATCTCCCGTTAAATCAATTGGTCATTCTGGAGCAACTGTTGAATCTCTTGATCATGTGATGTGCCGCAATGTCGAACTCTTGGAAATTGGTTCAGTATCGAATGGAGAATTACTTTTGCTCTTGGACACTTACTGGTTTGGACTTCTGAAATGTGTTCGGTAATCGAGTCCACACAGTAAATGAAGCTGTCAACTCTCAGGACACGCCTCCTTATTTTGCGGATTAAATCATGCTATCTTTGGTTGTCTCGAAGAAGGAAGGTTGTTGTCATACTTCTCAGTAAACGACGATGCAATGTATGCGAGAAAGATTCAGCAGCTGAATAAAGCAATAAATCAATCTTTCATTTTGGGTTCCATGATCGTCAAAGGACGCGTATGTATATGGTGTGTATGAATCAATTTAACATTCCAAACGAGTAAACGAAGATCTCAGCAGGTGATGTGCGATGAACGCAATGGATGCCCGGGATAGGATTACTTTCTCTCTTCCCTGATTGTGACTTTGTGACATGTGTAGGCCACCATGACATTTATTATGGCGAAAGGTTTCGCTGAGAGAGTACACTCATCCCACCACATGAAACTATCACGAAGAATTATTGGTCACATTGTTGAATCACAAAGCTGATCGTTATCAGCTTAACGGGTATACAACGCAGTTCAGGAGATGTACTGAGATAGGAAACCATCAAAGAAAAAAAGCCCAGTTTATCAACAATAAAATTGAAAAAGAACCAATCTCAACTGAAAAACAAGTAGAGTAATTAGGGGGTTCGAGAGTAATCCTGTGACAGTGTATGTCAGCAAGGAAGCGATGTTCTTGATGTTTATAAAGTACATATAAATTAATGTATTTGTATAGTCCACACACGGACATGATGAGTATTGACTGCTAGTGAACCTCTTACGATTTATTCGTTCGGTTGTGAACCTGCGGTAATATGCAGTGTAAAAGCTCTTATAATAAAAGAATTATCATACCAAAATTTAGTTCCAATGAATGCTGCAATTAAGACTCTCTGCCTGAAGGCTGCCTGAAGGCACGGCGTTTAGATATTTGTTGTCCATCAGATACTGTATCTCGTTGAAGAATGCCTTCGAAAGAGGTCGGGAAAGTCGGAACCCCATGATGGTCACCTTGAGTGGAGGACGATGCGGCATGACAAACAAGAGGGTCAACGGCCGCTAGTACTTGAAAGCTAGGCAGAGCTGAGCAGCAACGCAGTGCTCGTATTACAAAAGAGGCTGCTCTTATGGGCTTCGATCATGTGAAACAGCTCAAGCCCCAGCTTGTCAGTGGAGGTGGCGTCGCAGGTTCACCGTTGATGACATTGCTTGAAGCAAAGCGGTGTCATGTGGGTGCTACTATGAATGGAACTTCACAAATTTCGTGAGATTCTCCATTCCTGCTACACATCGATCTCAAGACAAGCGGGCGGTTTTGTGCTCAAAATGGTCGGGTAAGAGGAACTTACCAATTCTTTGCAACTCATTTTCTAGTCAGTCATCTGCTCTGCGGTTTGCTGGTCATCTAGAGTCAACCATTCCCGCATGAAGATTTTTGAAGCTTGAGGAGTTGTGTTAATGAACCTCCCAATCTTCTTGTGAGCTTGATTCGTTCTCAACTGGGCAAGAATTAAGCTCACGTGAAGATCACTAACAATCATAAAAACGAGTGGAGATTCTTTTCCGAAGGAAATCTTGGTTCTGATTAAGACACTGACATAGCCCCATAGCCCCAGAGTCTATTGAGAAATTAATTCATGAGAACTTTCAAATACTAAGAACGAAGTCAATATGCTAGTCCTCAGGAAGATCCAAAGTGTATGTGAACATCGTTGAGATTAAGATAAAACCACGAGAAGATGCAAGGTCGAGTGTAAGCCTCAGGCTGCGAATACTGGCTACGCCGTCCCGTTGCTATCATCCATCAAACATCCCTCACCGCGCGCGGAAAAGCAGACAGTAACGACGAGCTGTTTGCCCAGGAGCTAATTCAAGTTGTCCACACTTTGAATACGCCTCAACGGCATTCCTTGCATTCGATCGTTGGATCGATGAAGGGCGTCCTGGACGATAAACCAAGAAGGATGGCGAGATTGATCGTTTTTCAAAGACGGAGCGAGGGATTGTCTCACCAGCTCGCACATGAAGACGGCAAAAGCATCGACTGATGAACTGGAAACCTGATGCACTGGTCAAGAATTTGATCTGATCAAAATCGATCGTAGGTGGCATCTCTTCTGATCAGCTGGCGCATAGTGGAAGTGCTACAATCTCCACACATGTGGATAGTTACGATCCTGTTTCTATGTCTCTTGTCGCAGGTATTCCCGTTCTCATCAGATGCCGAAGCATTCGTCTGGTTTCTGATAGATGACGAATTCGAAGTGGATGATTATACCTCAGAAGTAGACGAGCTAGGAACATGGACCAGGTCCGTAATCCTCCCTGAGACCAGCATGAGGAAGAAGATGATAAGCACTTCGGAGACAATGCTTGCAAATATCATCGAGAACGACATCGATGTCAGCTGAAAGAATGTTATCCATGAGCTCTTGTCCTGACGACAAGTCTTAGCGTTCTTCTCGGAAAGGTCACTAAATAAGTTCGTCTCTATAAAAATCACAAGAAAAGGTTGAAGCAGGTACTTGCACTGAATCACAAAGATGTAAAAAAATTAACCACTGACATGATTGTTTTGAAGTTTCAAGCAACCTGCGTCGACACTAGTTCGTTGATGAATTGGAGATCCACCGACAAACTAGCCAGCTTGTTGTTCATGTCATAGACTTGCTTGATGGCTTTCAAAAGGTTGACACGGTGATACATCCTTCATTGGACTCGCAGATGAACTCATTCGATTTGATGCTGCGATCATTCCTGCAACTGGCTTGCAAATTGGTTTTCCTGTGCATTAGGATGAATTGATTTGCTAGGCACATACTCGTTGCACTTTTTTTCTCTTTTTCACTTTTCTATTTTCACCAAACTGCTAGTCAATTTGCTCCTAAACATGTTAGTCTTCTGTAGCTTTTCATAATTCCATCTGATCTCCTCCTTGTTGTCCGAATCTTGGAGACTGTCACAAGCAGGATCAGACTTCAGCAAAGCGGTCGTTGTCAACATCCCAACCATGGTTCAACAATAGAGGGAAATAAATCGCCAATAACCTAACTCTCAGTAGTGAGGTTGTTGGCCGGGATAACCTAGCTTTCGTTACTCAGGTTGTTGGCTTGGATTTGAAAAATGAACAGTAGTTCATTCCTAGCAATAACGAGATTGTAATTTTATTGAATGAAGATGATTTGATATACATTTCGAAGTCAATAAATGTAGAACCCTCTCAATCTTCAATAAAGAAATATGTAACAAAACCATTGGTTGTAATCAATCATGTAGACCATGATGACAAGATGTTGCTATACTGTAAATATTACACAAAATTGTGATGTTTTTTTGAGTATTTCAACAAGACTGAATCAAGCACATCAAATCAGATGAAGTATGTGAGAAGTCATCATAAAAATCAATATTCTAGAAATAACAAAACATTGGTAGGACCAATGGACTTCTATCTCCAGAATTTCTCAACTCTGGAGAAAAAAAAAATAATCTTAGATATTTCCGACTATTTTATTCGTGAAGTAATTAAGAATTTTGTGTAGTATGTGGCTCAAGCATTCACCATTATTGAATCAAAATTATTCTTAACGTTCAAAATATAACTCAAATGCAAATGTGCCAATGTGATCATTTCGAAAGGTAATGTCTTTTGGAATGATATATTGAAAAGAGTCAAAAATATTAAAGTCAAGCTTAAAAAATAACCGTCAAGAAGTAATTTTGCCATACATATGTCATTGGATATGTGAACATCTCCAAATAAATTCTTTCTTAGTTGGCTATAATAATCCATTTTGTTGATCTAGACTAAACTTTTCACGAAAAGCTTATAAATTTTACGTACACAATTGATCATAATGGAGTTGAAATGGCACAAATTGTCCATCAAACATTGGAAAAATTAGAAATTGTAAAACGTGTTGAATGTTTGACCATGGACAATGCATCAAGCAACAACGTTTTAATTTCAGCTCTAGAATACTCTGTTGACGATTATTGCATTCGTGAAAGAATATCAAAGTCTTGGAATACAAATTATTCAAGTATCAAATGTTTGCTACACATTATTAATTTTTCAATGAAAACGTTTTTGAAATATTTGGGGAAAATAGACAATAATCCAATCGACAACAAAATTTCAACCAATAACGCTTTTAATCTTATCCAAAGGTTGTGTTTTATAGTGAGAAATTGCATTCCTGTTTTCAGCAAAGAAAGCAATACGTGGATAAAGAATCTTGCAAATTGTGAAAATTTAATAGTTATCTTGGATTTTTCAATTCGTTGGAACTCCACATATTAAATAATTGAAGGCAATTAAAGTTCAAAATGATATCAAGAATTGACTCTGTATCGATATTCAAATCGAAAGTATCAAGCTGGATCAATTGCAATTTAGTGATGATGAATGATCAAGGTTGCAAAGCTTCTGTGATCATCTAAAAAGGTTTGAAAAGGCCTTGAGATTAATGTCAGGGAATAAGTATCTAACGCTCTCCTTTGTAATGTTTGTGTTTGTTGAACTTTTCTTGTATATTGAAGAACAGTTTATTATTCTTGACGATCTGAATCCAATGAAAAACGATATGTATGTTGCATATCAAATCCTTTTCAAGTATATTCGGTCACGAATGATTTTTATTTCTATATGATGTTTGTAATTTTGGAACTGAAGTTCATAAAAATTTACATTGAGCAAAAAAAGTTCAAGTCGTTTCATCCAAGATTGATCACTGTTATTGTTATGCTCTTGAAAATGTTGATCAATGAAATAAAAATGTTTTGTGGTGTCCATGAGATCAATTTAATTTTTTCACATGAACTTAACAATCAATTGTATTTTTGAACATGTTTGCTCATTGCAATGAGTATAATGAAACAAAAGATGAGATCGACAGAAACTTGTACTTACGATGTGAAGATCCTATAGTTGATCTGCTTGAATACTAGAAACTTCATGAAAAACAGTTTGCTCTTATCAGTGCGTTATAAAGAACGTTCTTTTTGTACCGGTTTCATCCTTGGCCGTTGAGCATATGTGGAATTGCAGATGAGATGTGATTGATATGTGATGGCACTCTCTTGCTCCCACGATTTTGATTGCTATGATGTTTGGAAAAAATGTTTTGAAATGATTTATAATTAATAAAGAGTACAATTCATTTTTGTCCACGATTTTTTTCAAGATCTATCGGAATGTATCCAAATCCAATCCGGTTTTACGAGTCCAATTTGGGTTGAAGATCAAACCCGACTCGATTGGAACCCTATATTCAAATTACAGAATTGAACCAACTATTAAAAAATAATCAAATTAAAATTTGATAAAAATTCATTATTCTTAGAAGATTGAAATATCTCTATGTGACATAGTTATGTATGATGTACACAATCACTATCAGATAAAAAATAAACGAGTTAAAGGCTAGCTGAAAATTATAAATTTGAACATGATGTTTAGGTTTTAATCATTCATTTTCAACTATGATAAGAAAAAATATTGTTAAAAAAAATTGCAAGAATCGTAATAATACATATATAATCTTCAATTTTGAATTTAGTAAATGAATGTGAAGATTTTAGTTTGATTATCAAGATTCTTGAGTGACATTTTTGTCGTGATTGATGAAATGATTATATGCCTAGTTGAAATTTATTTTAGTCTAGAATTCAAAAATATCATGTACTTTAAAATTCTTGGAGAAAGTATTTTTTTATATGATACAAATTAGAAGATGTATGTCAGATCCAAGATATGTTCTCTAACAAGATGTGAAATGAATATTTTGTTATCTTAAATTTTTTTAATACTATGATATTTTATTCATTACATAATAATAAACTTTTCTATCTTAGGTTGATGGTAATTGTTAACGATACATTGGAAATAAAACTTTACAGCTTAATATTTGATGTTTAGAATTGATGATGAATTGATTAGTTATTAAATTTTCTTTCATAAATATAAAATTTAGAAAACATATAATAAAATAATGATAATAAAAATAAAAAAAATTTTAATTTGATTCAACATATTTATCACTACTATTGGATTGAAACATGATATCAAATTTAATTGTGATAGTGAGATTGTGTTGAATCTTGACGTAGATGTTGAGGAACAGCAGATGCTTTGTGTCGTATTCCAACTTGGTATAAATACTATTTGCGCTGTTGATGTACATCGGACACAGCTTGTCGCTCCATGCATCTTGTCATCATGGAAGCAAATTGCACTCTGTTTCCCAACGGGTAATCTACAGCACGTGATCACTGTTTGTGCTTGTATTGAGGCTCAAATATTGTCCAGGCTAGATTCGGAGACACCCCGAGTTCTTGCATTTCAGGTCAAGCTGAGCTGACTCTTTCACGGCTGGCACGAGCTGGGTAGGCGAGGTCAAACATGTTTACAGTCACCATTCTTTGTCTGGTTATACTGGGATCTCGACAGTCTCAAGCATTACGGTACATGTCCTATCCATTTGCAGTGTAGCGGGACATGCACATCACAGGCGACATCTAGTTCGCTGCGAAGAAACCTTTTCTGTGCTATGAATATTCCAAAATCTATGTACTTCAAAGCGATCTGACGCACAAAGTAATATCAGAACCGACACTCTCCATACTTTAAAATGATGTACCTTGTTACAAGATGAGGTGGTTTGGCAGATTTAGGGAACACTGTACGTATGCGTATCTAGCAAAACAATGTAAGGAAGGATCATCATAAAGGTCCCGTTTGTGTCCGGATGCATCTATCTGTATGACGTCGATGAAGCTTGAACCCATGTTGTTGACACGGTCTTCCCCGTCAACATTTTATATTATTGTAACGATACATAGAAGATTAGCATGGCCACTGCGCAAGGATGACACGCACAAATCCAAAATTGGTCCAAAATTTATAATCATATGAAGCTGGTTAATGCATACATTCATGAAGTAAGAAGACTGCCACACATACATGCCAATACGAGAGGAGAAATTGGCTTTAGCCGAGACCTTAGAGAGAGACGCTACGTGCTCGGGAAGAGTCAAAAATCTTTTTTTTGAAACTCGACCAACGGAAACTTCGTCGAAACGGCTGAGAAAGAAGCACTACGTGTGCATGTAACCTACGAGGAATAACTCAAGTTGTGTTCAGCTCAAGATGCACATTTCTAAGCTAGAATCTTGTTGGCACCTGGAGGAGTTGTGAATCTCCCGTTAAATCAATTGGTCATTCTGGAGCAACTGTTGAATTTCTTGATCATGTGATGTGCCGCAATCTCGAACTCTAGGAAATTGGTTCAGTATCGAATGGAGAATTACTATTGCTCTTGGACACTTACTGGTTTGGACTTCTGAAATGTGTTCGGTAATCGAGTCCACACAGTAAATGAAGCCCGTCAACTCTCAGGACACGCCTCCTTATTTTGCGGATTAAATCATGCTATCTTTGGTTGTCTCGAAAAGGAAGGTTGTTGTCCTACTTCTCAGTAAAACTATAACGACGATGCAATGTATGCGAGAAAGATTCAGCAGCTAAATTGATTTATCCTCCGGATAATTCGATTTAGCTGCTGAAAAAAGCAATAAATCAATCTTTCATTTTGGGTTCGATGATCGTCAAAGGACGCGTATGTATATGGTGTGTATGAATCAATTTAACATTCCAACCGAGTAAACGAAGATCTCAGCAGGTGATGTGCGATGAACGCAATGGATGCCCGGGATAGGATTACTTTCTCTCTTCACTGATTGTGACTTTGTGACATGTGTAGGCCACCATGACATTTATTATGGCGAAAGGTTTCGCTGAGAGAGTACACTCATCCCACCACATGAAACTATCACGAAGAAACTATTGGTGACATTGTTGAATCACGAAGCTGATCATTATCAGCTTAACGGGTAAAGAACGCAGTTCAGGAGATGTATTGAGATAGGAAACCATCAAAGAAAAAAAGCCCAGTTTATCAACAATAAAATTGAAAAAGAACCAATCTCAACTGAAAACCACGTAGAGTAATTAGGGGGTTCGAGAATAATCCTGGTGACAGTGTATGTCAGCAAGGAAGCAATGTTCTTGATGCTTATATAGTATATATAAATTAATGTATTTGTATAGTCCACACACGGACATGATGAGTACTGACTGCCAGTGAACCTCTTACGATTTATTCGTTCGGTTGTGAACCTGCGGTAATACGCAGTGTGAAAGCTCTTATAATAATGAATAATCATACCAAAATTTAGTTCCAATGAATGCTGCAAATAAGACTCTCTTCCTAAAGACACGGCATTTAGATATTTGTTGTCCATCAGATACTGCATCTCGTTGGAGAATGCCGTCGAAAGAGGTCGGGAAAGTCGGAACCCCATGATGGTCACCTTGAGTGGAGGACGATGCGGCATGACAAACAAGAGGGTCAACGGCCGCCAGTACTTGAAAGCTAGGCAAAGCTGAGCAGCAACGCAGTGCTCATATTACAAAAGAGCCTGCTCTCATGGGCTTCGATCATGTGAAACGGCTCAAGCCCCAGCTTGTCAGTGGAGGTGTCGTCGCAGGTTCACCGTTGATGTCATTGCTTGAAGCAAAGCGGTGTCATGTGGGTACTACTATGAATGGAATTTCACAATTTTTCGTGAGATTCTCCATTCCTGCCACACATCGATCTCAAGACAAGCTGGCGGTCTTGTGCTCAAAATGGACGGGTAAGAGGAACTTACCAATTCTTTGCAATTCATTTTTTAGTCAGTCATCTGCTCTGCGGTTTGCTGGTCATCTTGAGTCAATCATTCCTGCATGAAGATTTTTGAAGCTTGAGCAGTTGTGTTAATGAACGTCCCAATCTTCTTGTGACCTTGATTCGTTCTCAACTGGGCACGGATTAAGCTCACATGAAGATCACTAACAATCAAAAAAACGAGTGAAGATTCTTTTCCGAAGGAAATCTTGCTTCTGATTAAGACACTGACATAGCCCCACAGACGTAAATTCCAAAGTTGAACAAAAAGCTCTATTATCCTTTTGACTTAGCCATGAATTGCTGCCCCCTTTCCTTCAGTTCTTTCAGAAGAAGATCTCCTCTGTGCATTTTTCGCTGTAACTAGGAGACTGTTGCATCACATTCGAGGATTAGGAATTTAATAAGCCAGAACAATAGCGTGGCAGCTCACGTCAATGTCTATATCGCATACGCTAGATAATCTCTCGCGTTTGCTTCATCTCCAAACGGTGTCCCCATTTTGATCTGCACGATAAGTGAGAGGTTGTCGGCATTTTTCTATAGATTTGCCTCTGCTCCTTACGTCGGGTATCTGATGAATTATTGGCCTCAGATTTGAATGACAACTCTTTCAAGTGACACATGTTCTGAAGCATCACCTTCTGTTTCTACGTGCAAAAGCTCATGCATTCGCAAGTGAAGCGTGAATTAGCTTGAACGGTCGTCGAAGCGGGTAAGATGCATCTCGGCAGTCGGTTGATGAGAACGGCCGAGATTATTAACATGTTCGGTCCGAGCGGACGTGCAGAATTGGTTCGATCTCGGGGCCGGCCATCGCCGAGACACCGAAGAAAAGTGAAATTTTTCCAGAAGCGGGCGAAGCGTCGGCAGCCGAAAGCTTTATAGATATCGGAGGCGGATACGGCTCGGAGGACGAACCCCCGCGACGGAACTCCCGACGGAACAATCCGCAGTTCACCAACGCTCATATTCGCGTCTACGAATATGAGCTGCGCGGCGGCTCGTACCAGAAGAGCATCAAGTACCCGCGGCACAACGACTACCCGGGCAAGGGTGCGCCCGAGAAGAAGGCGCCCGAGGAGCTGGCCCCGGAGCAGCGGATCAACATCTTCGCCCTGCGACTGGCGTTCCTCGAGAAGCTGGCCAGCTCGCTGGGCGCGCTGGCGTTCCTGTGGGCCACAGGGGTGCTCCTCGGAGGCTTCGCGACGTCCTTGAACGAGACGGACTTCAGCGTCTTGACGGTGATCATCCTGGCCGAGAGCTCCAGGATCTTCAGCCGCAGTCACGAGCTCGAGTTGTACCAGTTCTCCGTCAAGAAGGCCGAGAGCAAGACCCTGATGGACCTCGTCCGCGCCGCGTCGACGTCGACCGTCGTGACGGCCGTCCTCACGCGCCTCCGCGACCTTCTCCCGCCCGCAGCTGGAGTTGGCCACGCGCTCTATCGGATCGACCACGTGACCAGACACCGGAACCGAAGTACCCCCTCCGTCGTGGTCGCCACCACCGTCCTCCTGTTCACGGGCAGAATCAAAGACCGCGCGTTCACGGGCAAAATCAAAGACCGTGCGAGGACGGTGGATCCAACATCCGTGCAGATCGTGCCGTGGACGCATCACACGAAGCTGATCAGTCGCCTGCTGTACGTGGTGCAGCTGATCTCTGCGATCGGGGCCATCGGGATGGCGAGCTGGCGGCTGCGAATCCACCATTACTTTTACAACCCCGGCAATTCGCAGCCCATGCCTCCGAACCTCACCTTGTCCATGACCATGTTCTACGTGCTTGCCGTGGCGCAAGCGAGCCTGTTTCTGGTGGAGAGGTTCTTGTGGGAGTATCAGATGCGAGTGGCGAAAATTCTGAATAATGTGAACTCCGAGGCCGGACTGGGCGATGAGAATCTCCAGACGGTGAAGATGTTTTTCTACCAAGTGTACTCGAGGTGCCTCAAGGGAAGTGTTTTCGATGGCCTGCATATGGATTTGGTTTCCTTCAGCTTCGGGTGGCTCCAGGAGGAAGACTACCAGCAGCAGCTGGCCGCCGCTCGGCTTCTGAAACTGATCGTGAACGTGGATCCTTTGGCTGCCGACCCTCGGGCTGCCGACTGCCTGCGCCGGATGGGCAACACGCCTGGAGTCATCGAGCGCCTGGTCGAAATGCTCTCCTGGAATACCAAGAACGAGTCCGCTCTGCTCTGTGAGGTGGCTGTCATCGTGTCTCGCTTGGCGAAATTCAGCCGAAACTGCTGCAGAATTGCGGTCATTCCCGGCGCGATCGACGCGATAGTCTCCCTTCTCATCCCCCACGGCGGTTCGAGTACTGATGAGGCTCAGCTTAGCCTTCGCCTCTACGGACTACAAATTCTCAAGCTGCTGTGCCGGTTGTCCCAGGACAACCGGATCGCCGTCGGCGAGTCTCGACATCTTCTGGCCATTCTGGTGCTGTTCTTAGAAATCCGGCAGGGAAAGACGCCCTCTGAGAAAGGAACAAATCCGGAAGAGAAAGACGACCTTAAGGCCGTCTTTCAAAACCTTACAAAAGTTCACTTCAAATATTACAAAAAGTCATTGCAGATTCTGGAATCGTTGGCCTCTGCCACCGACGTTCCGGGCAGTAGTCTCCGAGTGAAGATATCGCGTGTCGTTTCGGGCTTGAAAAACTTGAGGGACATCATCCACTACGGTGATGGCCAACCAGTGCTGCAGCACCTCAGCATGAGAATTCTCTACCATCTGGCTTTGGAAGAGAAAGTGCGCGTGATCATGGGTGCTACCGGTGGCATCATGAGCCAACTGTTTGGTCTGTTCTCTGGCGATATTGAATCCCTGGAGACCGACGACCTCGAGAATAACGTCAAATTGCGACAAGAGGCATCGATCATGGCAGGCAGAGCCATCAACCGGATCATTCTTCAGAACAAGAAAAACAGCCTGAAATTGACTACCCTGCTCGGAGCGAACGGTGACAGTTTTTTCACCTGCACTATCAGATTCATTTCAAAGTCTGTGGAGTCTACAAAAATGGACTCGCATATACGAGAGATGGCGACCTGCAGTGCTCGAATTCTACGCACTGTTCTGGAATTCGTTGACGACTCTGTGAGGACAAACGTGGCCGAAAAGTGTGCTCGCAATGTGATGCAGCACATTATTCGGAAGCCATACGAGAGCAGATCCGAATTATACGAATCATATCTAGGCTTGGCTTCGCTCCTGCTCCGAGGTCTTCAACAGGACACGTACGATCCAGTTGTAAGGAGACTGCTGCACGAGACCAAGTTTATGGAGCAAGCACTTCACAATCTGAAGCATATTCCCGACAGAAAAGAGTTCTCGAGAATTCGGAGGTACACCCTCGAGCTACTGATTGCTATACTCGATAAGGACACACCTCATTTATCGTTCTACGGTGTTTTGGTGGAAAAGAGAATCTCTGGATCGCGTCTCGAAGATTTGCTTCAACACGCCCTCGCCTCCTTTCCCGAAGTAGAAAACTTTTGCTTGTTCTCCGGCTTGTGCGGCTATGCTCGAGACAACGTAGAGATGGAAGACCTTGTTACTCAAGCGATCCAGAAATTGAAGACCTACGAAGCCTCCAGGCGTGGATCTTAGTACACGAAGACCACCATGTGATAATACTTGACTCTCGCTTTGATAAACAGTGCCAAGAATGCTCACTCCATCCTCTGTTTACTCTTTAGCACTGGACTGAAGATAGTACATGCTAAAGCTTCAGCAGACGGCCTTGACTAGTACTGATAGCCCTCGAGTCATGATCACACACGCATGAACGCATATTTGAAATACACAGTGGAGAATGATTGATCCAACATTCACAACTGGTGCGGGCAAGTCTGGCAACTCAGTTCAGAATCTCGGCTTTAAACCAGATTCGTGATCGATATCATCTGTATAGGGAGCACCCATAGTTCCCACTGTGTCAAGTTCAGGCACTAGGGAGGCTTGAGAGAAATTGTAACACTTGAAGTATTTGTTGAAGACTCTTCTAAATTCAGGAGGATAGGCAAGGCTGCATCTGTTGGAGAGTTAAGTTGTACATGTAATGTACAGGTGAAAAGTGAGACCCATGGAATAAAAACTATCAAAAGAAACAAAAGACGACGAAGGCGAGAACTACAAGCCAATTCTCTAACTGCAACTAAGTCTCTCCCCTTCATGCAAATCGTGAGGACAATTTCGTGTGCCGCAGTAGTAGAGGATCAGGAGCCTGTTTGTGTTGTCGTTGAAGTCGACCCTAATACGTCTCACGCATTCTCTCCTGTACTAAGAAGAAAACCATACATTGCAGCTTCCTTGTAATATCAAGGGTTTGAAATTAAACCTTCTTGAACTGGAATGACATGTCGTGGACATGTAAGACTCAACGCCCTTAAAGGATAAGCTATGATCCACACCTAAATGGTGGTGAGTTGTCATAGCTCTACTGTAGCTCGAACACACAAGCTTGAATGCTTGTCTCTAACACAGATCAATTGAAAATCGAGGTCATTACTTGATGGGACGAGTGAAACTTAACCGTATTGATGGGACCCAATGGTTTCATTTTAACTCGCGGGACTCCACTCTATGGCCATGAAGCCCACCGTAAGTCTCATTCCAATAAAAATTCTTATAACCAATGACAGGTCATGAATAGGGGCAATCTTCCAACCTGTGTTCCTTTGTTTATTCGCCTGTCACTTATAGCACCTTAGACTGACACCTTTGCATCTCGCTTAGACACGAGATGCAAAAGAAGAATTGTCCAGAGAGACTTCCATTCGTTTGTTCTTAGGTCCTATCAATGTGTCTGTGTCCTTACTTGAAAGTCTTTATCACCGAGGACTGGCTGCCAGATGTCTGGCTTTCTAAGATGCACTCCGTTTCCAAAATCTGATTGAATCAGAAAGTGGAACCCGGGCTCCGATCAATTAACTCGAAAGCAACGGGCACCGGCACCATGAGTTCGTAACCATATCTGAGAAAGTGACGGGCACCACGAGTCTTAAGTACTCCCAGTACTTCATCTTTCTACTCGAATCCTATTGGAACATCACCAATGGTGGGCTGGAAGCTTTCGACGGGATCCCATCGGCTAAAATGAAAACGGTTGGATCCCATCAAGTGTTTTGAGTTTGTCATTGGATCAAATCAAGCAATTTTCCCTACAAATCTGGAGTTGTCGGTTGCCAAAATTAATCTGGTCAAAATTCCATATATTATTAAATTTATATATTATACATCACCCATGCAGACAAGGGTAACGCGGGGAAGAGTAAGTTACTGTATGAATGTCTGCTCCCAAGACATCCGTGAGTGCTTGAATTTGTTGGTGATCGAGAATCTCAGTGTGCTTCTAGAACAAATTTGCGAATAGCTGTATAAACTTTTTGTGCTGCGAACTAAAACGGTGGAGAGCAAGTTGATCACGAAAGAAATAGAAAAATAGAAAAAATTACAAGTCGTGTACATTTCATATTTATTTACATTTTCTTATTTCTCATATAATTTCTTTAGGCATGTTTGTTTTGATCAATGTGAATTTTTTGTTGGTTGTAATAATATATTTGTTCTTATCATTGTGAGTACTTTCTTGGGTAGATTAGAAAGGTTCAAGTACATTTTGATCTTGATTTTTTTTGTTGAAATATAAATGATTAGGTAACTTTATTATCTTTCATTCATTTTGTTTCTTTTATATCATTTGTATAACATGTTTATTTTGATCATTGTGAATTTTAGTATTTTCATATAAGATTTCGGTTGAAAGCGGCTTCTCCATCATCAAAGGAAAAAAGATTATTTGTGTACAACCTGAACAGACTTTTATCGTTGAATATTATGTATGAGAAACGATTAAAATGACTATCGCTAATCCATCATACCAAAATATGTGTGAAATAATGAAATCACAGTGTTAATACCAAAAATGCCAGAATGAAGGAGAAAAATTTGCTTGAACTTGGCATTTGCAAGATTTTAGAAGGGCTGCTCTAACAACGTCTACACACTGATAGGTTATGGATCAGCAGACCGCAGGTTAATGTGCACTCAAGATCCAAATTGAGATCGAGTGTAAGCCTAAGGCTGCGAATACTGGCTACGCCGTCCCGTGGCTATCATTTATCAAACATCCCTCACCGCGCGCGGAAAAGCAGACAGTAACGACGAGCTGTTTGCCCAGGAGCTAACTCAAGTTGTCCACACTTTGAATACGCCTCAACGGCATTCCTTGCATTCGATCGTTGGATCGATGAAGGGCGTCCTGGACGAAAAACCAAGAAGGATGGCGAGAATGATCGTTTTTCAAAGACGGAGCGAGGGATTGTCTCACCAGCTCGCACATGAAGACGGCAAAAGCATCGACTGATGAACTGGAAACCTGATGCACGGGTCAAGAATTTGATTTGATCAAAATCGATCGTAGGTGGCATCTCTTCTGATCAGCTGGCGCTTAGTGGAAGTGCTACAATCTCCACACATGTGGATAGTTATGATCCTGTTTCTGTGTCTCTTGTCGCAGGTACTCCCGTTCTCATCAGATGCCGAAGCATTCGTCTGGTTTTTGATAGATGACGAATTCGAAGTGGATGATTATACCTCAGAAGTGGACGAGTTAGGAACATGGACCAGGTCCGTAATCCTCCCTGAGACCAGCATGCGGAAGAAGATGAAAAGCCCTTCGGAGACAATGGTTGCAAGTATCATCGAGAATGACATCGATGAAGCACGATGACGTCGATGTCAGCTGAAAGAATGGTATACATGAGCTCTTTTCCTGACGACGACTATAAGCGAATCAGATCTACTACAAAAGAGAGAACAAATGGAAATCTTCATCAAAAGAGTAGTAAGGACGCGATGCCGCTGGAATACTTTACCTGTTGGCGTATCGAGCTGTGAGTGAAAGGATACGATTGTTCACCGCACCTGCAGGCCCTCCGATAGCATGTCCGCTGTTGCGCATCCTTATAAAGCTACACCTTGTGAAACGACATGCATTCAAATATACATTAGCTTGAAAAACCAGTTCGGAGTCAATGACTCGTTTAGCATCTGATCTGGTAATCGTGTTCAGTTCAAAGATGTACGAATAAAATGGAGTCGAAGCTTTCTGCAATAGTAGTATTACACCTTCTTCTTCTTCTATTTTTCTTGAACTTGAGTGAATGAGCAAATTACGTGGTCTCGTGGGATCCATTTATTTGAGGTCTTGCAACGTAGCGCAGACTTTGGGCATGGACTGCGATTTCTTGAAGGATGTGTTGTAACCCGTCAGTCTCGTGCATTTGGATTTTGAACATCTGCAAATACATAGAGTTACGCAGCTACTCATGAATCAATAGGATTCAAAACATCGGTACTATGTGCGTATCATATCCTGACGACCTGGAAGAGAATCTGTACCTGGAAAACACGGAAGGACACAAACGAGAAGGTGGTATGTCTTGTAGTGGGGATACCAAACACGGTAGATTGATTCCCAATGTTCCAGGTTGCTGTCGATTGGAAGAAACTCTTGTCATGACTACTGTCAGTGTCTCATGCACTTTCTCCATGTACACCAGTCACTGGAATTCAACATGGTACTCACATGATGTTATCTATAAACTCCCTAGGGCAGTTATTATCGCCTTGCAATTTCCTGCACCTCGCTTGACCAAGGTCACTACTATGTGTTAAAGTTCCGTTTCCTGGTTCCATAGAGCATGAAAAATAGTTCGGGAGAGCAGATGCTATGGTGGCTTTCCATGTGACTGTCTTCTTCATCTGGGTGTTGCAATTTCTTCAGCTATCTCAACAGCAGTCGAGTCAGACTGTGATCTTACATCAACTTATTTGGAAGGTAAGTAGAACTGCCTTCCAATAGTAGACTTATGCTTCGATGCCAATCATGGCAACCTGGTTTTCACCTATTAGATCATTAGATACTGTGAAATGTATTTTCGCAAGACGAGGGGAAACCACGAAGTCCAGACGAACAGAGAAAATCACTTCACTGATGTCTAACCAATGCTTCAAAATGAAAGCTTTGAATGGGACCTGGGTATCACAAGAGGCCTTGAGAAACCTTTGATACCCCTCCATTTCATAATCTTCAATAGGTTACGTACTGTTAAGATTATAATTTTCCAATCAAATGAAGGCGGATTGCTGGGGCCTCTTTCCTCTAGTATGACGTTCGTGGAATGAACGAATTCTAATAGGAAGCTGATATCCTGTCAGAATTAGATGGATTATGACGGAGTGATGTTGAAAAGAAGACCTCAAAGTACTTGGAATACGTAAGTATATGACTTGTAAGAGTTGTTAACAAATTCCAAAGCCACCATGTTCAATGTTCGATTTAGGTCTGAGGTTTGATGCATTCTGCTCTGTACCTGAATCTCTTCAGGCAGTGATAATAGCATGGTGATATACATAGTCTGTAAGTTACATTTTCTTCAGGTACATGGTCACCATATTGGCCATCAGTCTTGTGCATGTGGCTTCTGCCGACCTACTAGGACTTCCGAAAGAAGTCAAGTTAGAACCATTCCAGCACCTTCGAATGGGAGCTCTTATGAACTTGCCAAATGTGACTTCGTTTTCTTTCAGAAGGTTTGCAAGTTGCAAGTTCGCATATTTCCTGTATGAACATTTCGTTTGATCCCATTCACGACAGACGACACCTACAGACACACATTCTTCAATGGTTTGCGCATTTGCTTACTGTGTCCACCTTTAACGTACTTCTCAACGGCATCCGATCGGATGATTTTCACTATCAATGTGAGCTGCGATTCGGAAGACCTTAGAACGTGGGCATCAAGGAACGACCTTCCGCGTGCAATAACAGAATTCGGTTCCACGTCCATAATGAGAAGCTGAGTTGAAAAAGAGACTTTTTCGACCAGCTCGCACATCATTCTATCAGGATATCAGTGCAAGTGCTCTGATAAACTGGACCCTTGAACTGGGTGATTCAGCAAGTCATGCGATCAGCGCACCGGAAAGGCTACAACGTCACCAGTTTGTGATTGAAGTTAATGAGGGTGGTAAGGCAAGTCTGTGGAGATCACTGCCACGAGAAGTGGCTCGAAATATCTGGGTTGTGAACACTGGAAAGATGAACGAATAAGTCGTAAGCTATCGGACAATCCGACACCCGAGAAATGATCAGGATCGTCAGGGAAATGTGGAGTCCATTCTGTCCACCTCGAGGTTGATGCAGACACCGGATGAACTGCAATCGCATGCAGGCGGCGAAACCGGGAGGAAATGTCAAGAGCAGCTCTCTGTGAGCTTTCAATCTCGAGCCACTGGAACTTGGGTTTGTGATTCTGCGTGTGCGACTGGACAAGCAGAAGGAGCTTGGAAGGTCCTGAACACGAGATTGTGGACTCAAACTTGACAGTGACTCCATGTGCCAGAAGCAATCAGAACTATTTTTCTTCAGAATTTGAACTGTACGGAGAGCTCTGGCTGCATGCCTCTGTATAATCTTCCTCGGCATTCGCCTTTGGCTGCATGCAGATCTGAATTAAAAGTTCGAATATTTAGCCGTGCTTAGAGCTCTAGCCTGCATGAAGTGGTGTACTGGATAAATCTATAGAACGTGTCCTTTGATAAGAGTACCGTAAAAGCTCGACGCTCAGCACTATATCATGTGCAAAGCGTTCATGCTAACTGCGTTTCTTTGTCAAGATCTCTTGTGAAGTTTCTTGCTCGTGTTATTTTGTGTTCGGCAGCATGAATTCAAGTTCTGGCGCTAAGTGCTGCTTAGTTTCTTGATGTCATTTTATTGCGAGTCACTTTGAGATATTTAGTACTCAATGTTCTTTTCATACGTCAGTAGGTATTGTGATTGTAGTCAAGATTTTAATTTCTCCAGTGCTAGAATATTTTCATTCATAGTTATGGACGGAGACCTACTGACAATGGTACACGTAAAGGGTTTCTTCGACAGTGTAAGTAGAAGTTCTTGGCCATGGTTGTCAACAGGCGTTCAGCTTATTGAAGATCATATTAATATTTCCAAAAAAAACTAAATTGTTCATCGAATGTTATGTTTTTTTACATTTTTGTATTGAATATACATATTTTTATAATATTTTTTCTTTCAATGTGATTCTTCAAAAATTGAACATTTTTGAACGTGTTGTTATAATTTGTATTATTTGATTATAGTATACATTATAGATGAAAAAAATTTATTATAATAAAAATAAGAAGATGAAATCTTGATGCATTATAGAATATATTTTTAAAAAATATATTTTTGGTATATATGTTTTAGAAATTAGAATCTTAAATCTAACGTTTGTCACTTCTTAAACTCAACTAAAATTTTAGTAAACTCTCCTATCTTGCACTTTGGTATTGATAGTTCTATTTAAATTCAATTACGCAAGATGAAAAGTACATCTTATAGCTTAATTTATTTTAGAAACATAGGAAGTGTTTTCAAAATCAGTGTTGCCACACTTTTAAAGTCAGAATGTGTGAGTCCATTTCAAAGATGATAGAGAAAACTGTGATTATTGCTTTCCAGTAAGGAAACTAAAAGTTAGTTTAGTACTAATCATCCGCTTGCGTAATTCTCTCATTGTCGCATCAATTAGAATTGAGAGTTGACTTAGCATTTTAGCTAATTCTGAAACGATTTGATTTCAGATTATGCCAATGCTAGCTACAATTTTCTATTCTGAATCTATTTGTGGTATTTTACTTGAAGAGAAAATTAAAAAATGATTTTGCAATAATATATTTTTAAATTTCTAACTTACCTACAATTGTACAAACATTAAATATATATTATATATATATATATATATATATATTAAACCTTGAGTGATGTTCAAATAATATATCCAGCATTTTCTCTGAAAGTAACTAACCGGATGCATCTAAAGCTTTCAGCCACGACGTTGACGAAACTATTTTCCGACCGAGTTGTGGTATATATAGTAGGATTGTTGACCAATCCTTCACCACTCATCAGGTTCAGCAAACCGTGTATCTAAAGTGAGAATCGATATGAAACATAGAAGCATTTTGTTACAAAGGTTTGAGAAAATCTTACAGCATGATCTGAAGCATCAACTCTACAGCGAATCTGCCGTTCCTGCTCAGCCAAGATTCATTTCAATCGATAATGAATTGCACTAGAAACAAACTTCTTGGGCTGGAAGTTATGTATTTGACCGTAAAATCTTGTGGCGATCTGGTAACATCCTCTTTCATTCCATGAATTGAGTCAATGGAGTTGAACATGGAAATTGCATTGTAAATGATGAAAATGTCGAGTTGAATGATATACATTGTACAAGAATACTGTATGCAATCCTTGGTGTTCCTACACATGCATGATAGCATGAAGGTTAGCTCCACCACCCTTTAATTTCAAATCAAGTCTCTCTTGTTGCCTCTTCTACTCTCTGTATTGTCATTGGTAACTGATTAGTATATGACGACGATATTGCATATTATTACCAACATCAGACAAGTATTTGTTTGATAATTACATTCGGTTTGGATTGATTAGTACAAGATTCCAGAACAAAAGATATGTGGAGCACCGCAAGAATTTGATGCTAACTCAAGGACTGTGAAACCTGGCCTTAACAGAACACAATTGATTGTAGTTTATACCTGCAAAGCTTGTGTAACTTGAAGGAAAAATAAATAGCAAATCCAACCTCACCATCGACGTTATACACTCTTGAACAACTTCATCATACTAACATGTTCAACTATAATAATAGAGTGAGAAAATGATGTTGTATTTTTCACACGTAGGTGAAGCGTAGATATTCCAAATTAAATGGGTGGACCAGTCAGTTTATGGAACGACGGAGATGTACAATTGCAATGAAAAGTAATCATACTCGAGTTTGGAGTAGTATTCTTCACCAGCAATTTCCTCATTGATTAGCAACTTGATATGGCGAGGATGAATGATATGTTGGGGATTTATTTGCGGGTTTGAACCGTAAAGTCCTGTTATAGTGTGGTTCTCCATATTTCATATACTTTTATGCATCAGCGAGTAAAGTTTTGTATACTTCGAGTATAGAGTTCTTTTCGTTTATGCAAATCAGTGCTTACAGGCTCTGAAGGAAAGGTTTCTGAGGCTTGTGTTAAACGTCT